AATCCGCGTAAATCGTTGCAATAACGGTATCGTTATTAGAACGTACTAACTCGGTGAAATTCGCGCGCAACTATCAAAGTGATTTACATCTGAAGGACTACCAGAGTAGCCGTCCCATTTGGTGACAACCCCTTACGAGTGCCTCCAGAAGGGTGAAGTTCCGGGGATACCAGCGCGTGCCTTCTCCCGGACGTCGTCGAGTCATCCAGATCGGTTCCCGTCAACATACCAGCTCACACAATTACACCTACACTCACAACACCGCATACACCAAGCACAACTTCCATCAGCCGGGCCGGTCTAGGAGAACCGTCTGCGCTCCTGAGGCAGGTAAGTGCATTTCTTCTAGTGACCTTTCCCCTCGCGTGTTCATTAGAAACCTTTGACCCTCGGCGTAGGAACGCCCGACCTGCATCTGCCCGTGGGTCCTTCGTCTATGGGCCGCGAAGGATCCAACTCCTGTTTAGGCAGGGCAGCTGTTGGCCGTAACAGTGTGGATGGTATCGGAAGTTCTGCCGCGATGTGCGTTCGTGAAATTTGGTGGCTGGGATTAATCCGAAGTGGAAGGAGCTGGCACTGGGGAGCCCCAGCCCAGAGATGTGAACAGTATTCCATGTGAGGCCGAACCTGCGTCTTATAAAGTTTCAGGCGTTGTGCCGGCATGAAATACCGTCCCGCTCTGCTGAGCACGCCAAACTTTTTAGAGGCCAATTTTGCCTTCTCTTTTAAATGACCACGAAACTGCACGTCACTTGATATGTCGACGCCGAGGATTCCGATACTGGCTAAGGCAACAAGGGGAGTACCTAAAAACTGAGGAGATACGACTAAGGGGTTCTTTTTAGCGGTAAACGCGCAAACTTGTGTCTTCTGAGGATTAAACTGGACTATATTTAGTCGCTCCCAATCCGAGACTTTGACCAGCAAAGACTAGACTTCAGACACAAGTTTGTTCCGGTACTTGGCGACGTTTTCTCGAGAAATATTGGCACGGCCGGTGTATAGAGCATCACCGGTGCTTTCATCCGCATAGCAATGAATGCTACCGGTTTGCAACATATCATTGATATGCAGAAGAAACAGCGTTGGTGATAGCACGCAGCCTTGTCGAACACCAGCGTTAATAGGCTTGTAGTCGGAGCATGCACCGTCTACAACGACCTTGATGCTCCGATCTGCAAGAAAGCTGGTGATCCAATTGCACAATTTCTCGGGAAGCCCATAGGAAGGGAGCTTCGAAAGAAGCGCTTTGTGCCAAACCCGATCGAAGGCCTTCGCAATGTCCAAACTAACGGCCAATGCCTCCCCCTTGGACTCTACTGCCTCCGCCCATCTATGAGTCAAGTAGACCAGAAGATCACCAGCTGCTCGACCCCGACGGAAACCGTTTTGGCGGTCACTGATCAGCTGGTGATCCTCAAGGTACCGCATGAGGTGGCAGTTTATAACGGATTCCATTATTTTGGAGAACAAGGTTGTGATGGCGATAGGCCTGTAGTTGGACAGATCTGAGCGGTCGCCTTGTTTTTTAAAAAAAACGTTACCCCCACACTAGGTTTTTCTCCTGTAACGTGGATGCAGTTTACAAACACAGATTGCACAAGGACAAACATCCAGACCCGGAACAATTGTTTGTAGGCCATACAAATACTTGTTCCATGCGGGATTCGATCCCGCGGCTCCCAGCGTAGCAACTCATTGCTAAGCTACGGCGCCAAGAGCCGTCAAGGATTTTTAGGGATCGGGTGGACAAAAGCTGTCTTCTATGATTTCGGGACTACACCTAGGGAGTAGGAGTACCGGAAAAGAAGCGTTAGTACCGGTGTCAACTTTTTTTTTTTTTATATGATAAGGGTGACAAACGAGCACACAGTCCACCTGATGGTAAGTGGTTGCTGCGGCCCATAGACATCTACATCTATCCTCTATTACAAATCAAAATGTAGATGCGTTGTCACCCGTGAGGACTAAGATGGAATGCCTCAAAAAAACTCCGGAGCACACGTCCTCAGCACAATTGGGGGTTTCCGTCAGACCCACTCGACTTGTTGATGTCCAGGGAGAGGAGTGCTCTGCGAACCGAGCGCTGAGAGAACCGCACATCCGGCATGGAGCACTCACACCGCGGGATGGTCGGCGGTGTGTTCCCCCCGTCATCAAGAGTGGAATTGGATGCAAAAAGAGAGCCTAAAAGGTCGGCTTTCTCTTATGCGGCGTGAGCCAGTGAGTCGTCCTCCCTGTGCAGAGATGGTAGTGATGGCTTACAAAAATTTCCTTGGACAGCCTTGACGAGAGACCAGAATGCACGGGTTCCCGAAGGAAGGCGTATAGGCGCCATCTCCTATAAAAATAAATATAGCTTAGATCCTTCAGCAATTTTACGATAAGGACTATATCGTCGGCAAATCGAAGGTGAGTGATGTACTCGCCATTGATGTTAATACCGTGTCTTTTCCAGTCCAGTAGCTTGAAAACGTCTTCCAATGCAGCGGTGAATAGTTTCGGGGATATAATGTCACCGTGTCTTTCACCTCTCTGCAGATGGATAGGTTTCGTACTCTGATTCTGTACTCGAACAGCCATCATAGCCCTACTATACAAACATTTCAGCACTTCGATATACAGACAGTCAACTTAACACCGCTGAAGGGAGCACAGCATTGCCCCAATTTCGACGGAATCAAAGGCTTTCTCATAGTCCATATAAGCAAGGCAAAGTGGCAAATTGTACTATTCTGTCTTCTGTACAATTTGCCGAAGGGTGTGTATCTGGTTTAAGGTTTTAAAGCCTTTTCGGAAACCAGCTTGTTCGAAAGGCTGGATGTCGTCGATTCTGCGGGCGAGACGATTTTACGGAATAAAGGAGCTTCTAAAGGACTTCAAGTACCGGTTTTATATCCGATTTCAGAAGCTCCGCTGTAATTCCATCCTCATTTGGGGCCTTGCAATTTTTAAGGTGCTGGAGAGCCATTCTATTCTCGCTCAGACTGACGTCCGGGATATCTTCGGAATAGTGTCGGATAAGACTCTCAATCTCACTCAAAATCTCAAGTATCCCAGAAACGATGCTGCGACACTCGGTCTTCAGCTTTGACAGTTGGCTCTTTCTGGCATACAGATCTCTGGCAAAGACCTTGGAGCCTTGGTTCCGCTCCATTGCTTCTTCAATACAAGCTGTATTGAAGTTGCGTAAGTCTCGCCGCATGCATTTGGAGATCTGTCTGTTCAGTTGCCTGTATGCTGTCAAATCTGTTGAAGACTGCAACTTCATTTCCCATCTAACAGCCATGAGATTAAGAGATGGGATTTGGAGAGTTTTTGTGTTCTTCTGCGGCGGGTCTTGCAGAACTTAGTTTCGACTGCGTGAACAGTTTCCACGAACTTATCATTCTTATCATCCACTTCATTACAGTCTTCTAGGCACTGAAAACAGTTTTGTAACTCGAGCTGAAAGGTTTCGGAACTTTGGACTAGAGCACGAGGGAGACGGATCATTGACTTAATTGGATGAAACCTCTCCAACTTAACGTTTAGGTTCATTTTCCCTTACACCACTCGGTGATCGCTTTTTTTTTGTCGAACCATGAGGCTCGATCCGGTCCACTTCCTGTGAGGCCGCTTCTGGAAGAAAAAGTTCATCATAAAGAGTCCCTCTTTCTCAATGAATTCGGCCAGCTGCTGACCGCTCGGGTTCCGTTGCTCTATTCCAAATTTCCCTACTTTCAACTCACCGTTCTCCCTTGTTGCTAGTTTTATATATTGGGTTTTGGAGCATGGCGTGGCTCTAAATATATCGCCATACATTTTCTCCACCTCCTCATCGTGATGTACCGAGGTTGGTGCGTCAGCCTGTATGAACTTCAGCGAATACCTTTTGGTGATTCTGAATATAAGGTACGCAACCCTCGTCGACACACTCTCAATCTTTACAACTTTGTTAACGAGAGACTTGTGGACGATAAATACGACACCTCCTTGGGACAGATGGTCGCCCTCCCGGTGATAGTACAAGTTCCCGGATTCGTGGTTTACCGTGTCCTTCCCCTCTCTTCAGACCTCGGATAATCCTATAATATGCCAGCGTAACTTGTCTATCTCTTCTTCCAGCTCCACGATCTTCTCGTCAGTCCTAAGGGTATGTGCGTTGTATGTTGCCAGATCGAGTTGTCTTAGGTGACAACCGAACTTCCACCGGAGATTCTTAGCACCCCCTGCCCCGCCATTACCATGGTCGTCACACTAGCCAGGAATAGCGGGGCCGCCGGGAGGGGGCCGTCTCTTGATTACTTTCATCATGGGGGGTATATTGCCATAGTTGCCACGCTTGGCGAGCGGGTTGGCAACTGCAGTTTTTTATTCTAATTTTTGTTGTTATCAGGAAGATGCTGCTGCCCATCTCCTGCCTGTTTCCCACTGTCGCCTCTTACGACTCCCACGGGAAGATATGGGATAGTGGATATTCTTAACCGCCACTGCACGGAATGTGACCTATATTGAATAAAAAAAAACAGTATTAAGGTTCAGCTGGCGTGGACCTTGTGCCACCCAGAAGTTGCGTACATTAATATAATATAGCCGCACCTTAACCTAAAGTCACTGAATGACGACGCATCTGCTGAAAATCATTCAGGCCGCTAGTTGAACGGCGTCGTTTTGTAAAAAGGTTAGGCTGTTAACTGAAATACTAATTAAGCTTGTTGCCTGCGACATACACATTTTACGTCTGACGTTAACAGAAGATTATACCTCCATCTATCGGTAGCCACATATATAAGAATTCAATTACATTATATTTTCAAATGTAATTCAATAACTGAAAATTTAAAGGCTCTCTTTAAGAATAATAAACATTTAGAAGCGCTGCAATATTTAGATAGAGTAAGTATTCTCTCTAATTACAGCTAATTGATTCATTAATAGCTATTTAAAAACAAATTTCAAAAGCTGACTTTAGAAGTGCCAAGTTGGTGAAATAAACAAGAAATTAGGAAAATACTTACTTAACAATGTCAGCTAGATAAAGATAATGCTCGATGCGATTGTCGTCCAAATTGTCGAGGAGCTTAAGCTCGTTTTCTTGTGAAACCATTACTATGGCATCGCGTACACCGGGAATGCCATGCGACCAAAAGTCTAGATTTAATTTTGAACTGAGTTCGGCCAAAATTTTTAGATCAGATTGTTCACGCAGCTTGATGCCATGAACTTTGTAGCTGTGAAAAAGTAAAGTTATAGTTTATATACGTCCCAAATCTGGTTACAGATCTCCTCTCATTTCTCTAGCAGTTAGTCTGCCGCGCCGCTCCAGCACAGTTTAACACTTTCACTGTCCGGTTTTCAGACATATAAGTAAGACAATAGCAAATAGCAATAACCTGTATACAGTGCATAGGACAGCGAAACGTTAAAGAGCCAACAGTTGTGAAACGTCTTTGATGTCAGGCGATACTGCCGCCCACGTAGGTATTTACAATTTACGTCATCATCGCAAATAAGTGCTAGGTGTTGTCAGGAAATTGGGAGCAAAATAATTTTTGGATATTATAACACACATTATCATTTATTAACATTATTGTACATACTTGTAAGTCAAAAACATTTATTCAAAAATATCATTTTTATTACTACATGAAAAAATATATTTACAAGGGTAGCAAAAATTTTTGCGTTACAATTTCCTTTTATAGACGTTTTCAGTTTTCGATTCGATTGTTAAATGTAATAACGTAGTGTACTCGCATTCAGATGAACTATTTTATCCAAAAAAAAAATAAGGGGTAACATAAGTATGGTTGTCATTTGAATTCAACTTTACTTAGTAACTCATATAACTAGAACAGTTATTTACCTTTATAGATATTATATTTTTCGAATACAGCACTTAAAATTTGTTAAATAAGTAGGTACCTACTATTAAAACACGGTGACATCAAACGCAACCGCGCAGGCACAAAATCGCGCTGCCCACTGCCCTGCTTTCCTTTTATAATTGTTAGACTCTCTCTACTACTCTCTACATGCGTTTGTTCTCTCGTACGTTATCAAACTATCTACTGATTCCACTATAAGGTAAGAACCGTTATCAACGGTAGAAATGTTACGTTATTTGATAACATGCTTTTTAAAAATGTATGTAATATATTATCGATTGATTTACTATTATCTGTTTATATTTTCCCCGGGAGCTTGCTTACTTTACTTACCTTCATATTACTTTGTAGCATCAACTTACTTTGCTAGTCTAGTGATTACGAGTAGCATAATAATAAGGGTTGGTTAACGGAGATTTTACCAATGTTAAAAGCGTGAGTACTTTTATTTCAAGAAATATTAATATAAATTATGATTATTTGTATACTGTCATTCATCGACCGTATTCGGATTCGATAATATTAACCTATTAAGTTATATTTATATGTTAATTTCATTGAATTATTCAAGAAATGAAAATTGTAATCGCTATCTTTTATTTGTATATTTTTGGACTCCAGTTCAGGCTTAATTTTAAACATGTATATAGTAGTATAAGAGGCGACAACGGATTGACTAAATTTATAGTCGTTAGGATAGCTGATTTAGCATCAACAGCGTGTAGATCACTAATGTGAATGGGATGGAACCGGTGTGCCTGCGTGAAGTTGGTGCGTTTGGTAGGTGCAGCAGTTGAATCAGAATTTTTTTATTCAATATAGATTATATTTATTGAAAGTCGGTCTTTTGTTTATTTTATCACTGTTTTGAAAAAAAAAAACTCTGTTGAAACACGTTTTGAGGTTTAGTAATGGCTGATTCAAGGATAATATGAAAACTGACATGACTCTTTGGTGCGTTTACTAGAAAAAATTAAACATCACCAGGATAATTATTTAATGTAATAATTATTCTGATACAAGCTATAAAATTAAAATAATATTAACATCAAAATTAAATTAAAACAACATTCAAAACTCTGATAAGTAAAACAATCAGTTATAACAATCACGTTCATCAAGCTTTCTCCAAGAAAATTGTTCATAAATTTGAACTGGTATGTATACTCGTTTAAAGATTAAGTCGGATTACAAATTTTCCTCTTTTTAAGTTCAAAGTTTATTGTTATTATAATTTAGTCGATCCGTTATGGCCTCTGGGAATAAAGGTAATATGTTTTGAAGTGATGTACAATTACTTATCTAATAATAAATTGCTTCTAAATTAATAAAAAAGTAATCCTTAAAGTCATTTCAATAGACTAAGTAAAACAAAAAAAAAAACTCACCTCGAGAATATATCGTTTTTTCCAGCTAACGCCAAATTAAAATACAAAGCTACTGTAGCTAAAAACAATTTCGTGGCCATCTTGCCCTCGTTCTGCAATACTAAATTACAAGTCCACCCATTCCAGTGATATGACGGATTTTGATAACGAACATTGGTTTTATCATTGCTGCTTATCGGTAGTATTCGTTAAATGATAAATAAAAACTCAATAATTGTTCAATTATAGATGACTTTTGTTTTCCTATTTTAATATCTGATACCCTTTTTACTGGAAACAAGACTTCCATGTTAGTCCTCAGGGGTGACAACGCATTTGCATTTTGATTCTTAATCATTGGGTGTGCTCGTTTGTTACGCTTATTATATTATTATTTTTTTAAATCACATCTCAGTTTCATATTTATTCGTCATTGGCAAGACGCACATGAGTTAGATTCTCAGTTGGATTTACTTAGTCCTACAATTTTGTACTATATAAACACGGCAAGCCGCACCGTAGCGAAGAGGGCTTTCTCACAGTAATAATCGTTGGAAATGAGGTTTTGCGGAATTAATTTCTTCTTTACATCTTCACAATAACAATTCCTTTTTATTTGTTACTCTTTATGTTTTTGTTGGGAAAAAAATTCGTTGCACTAATGGTAATTAATTTATTGCACATAGAGTAATAATAATATAGATGTTTTAACTCGTATCGTAGTTGTGATGTACACAGAGAAAGGTGGCTTTAGCAAGCTCATCTTTATTGAACAAAATACTACAAATGCGCAAACAGAAACAATGTGCAAGTGTAGCACACACACACACACACAAACACACACAATAGGACCAACTCGCTTACTATACTAGACGTCATATATAGTGGTTAAATAAAGAAAACAATGTATCCAAATTAAGTTATATAAGTACATAATTTTAAGGTAATATTATTTATTTTCTCATATTTTTATAGGATAGGGTGACAAACGAACACAGAGTCTACCTGATGGTAAATGGTTGCTATGATCCATAGACATCTACATCTATCCTCCCTATATACCCTAAAATGCAGATCCGTTGTCACCCGTGAGGACTAAGATAGAATGCCTCTTTTCCACTAAAAAAGGGTCTCCGATTCTCTACACTCACCATACGAAACACAGCAGTGTTAAGCTGTTATGTTACGCTGGTAATCTGTGAGATCGTGGTCCTTTCCCGGTTGAACTGCCCCATTCGTGCTACAACTATACTTCTAATATTGCTGCAGCATTGCTCTACCACGTATAAGTATTATATTTTATTGCAAGAATTTATCGCACTTTTGGTAGAAGATATTACTAGTCTCTTAGTGATGAATTGATTTAACAATATGATTATAGTTCAAATTTATTTTTATTGTACATAAATATAAGTAATCATTAAAAATCTTGTTGCTTTTTATGACAAAGATCACTTGTTGAACCGGGCTTTATAGGAAATGAGAGACGACCTCGCTGAAGCTGCTATACCATGCCAGGTTTCTTCGTTGATCTGCTCGATATATCACGGGGGTACTGTGAATGTTTGTCCATATCCAGGCAGTTCTAAGGTGTAAGAAAACGAAACGCCCACGACCTAACAAAATAGATAAATAAATAATAAAGAAATATTTAAAAATGTTATTTATATCGAAGTGGCGCAATTTATTGCAGTTTTGGATTTATCTATGATATCGGGACATCGAACACTTCAGTCTCTCCCGTGACCACGGGTGCTGAAAAGCACCCGAAACGTCGGGAAGTAAAAAGTTTAATTAAACGCGAAAAAATTTATAAAAAATACTTTCATTTAATGTGTAGTCTTCGCGTAAATATAAGAAATCATTTCGAGACAGAGTTATATTGTTGGAGCAGCAAAACTCTTCATAAAACCTCATCATCATCATTGGTCTGCAAAAGTACATTGCTGGATATGTGCCTCTCCCATTGCTAGAAGAATTTGTTTAGTCATCACGCTAGGCGGGTGGATTGACGATAGCAGTACCAGGAATCTCGCACCTTTGACGCTGCTGCCTATATCAAGCGTATTTTTTTATATAAAATAAGGTTGACAAACAAGCACACAGTCCACCTGATGGTAAGTAGATACTGTATTTATCCTCTATTACAATTTTAAATGCAGATGCGTTGCCACCTTTGAGGGCTAAGATGGAATGCCCCGTTTCCAGTGTAAAGGGTCTCCAGTTCTTAACACTCGTCATACGAAACGCAAAATATTGAGGCTACTATTTCATCCTGATATTCTGTGAGAGCGTGGTCCTCCCATAGTCGAGCCGACCCATTTGTGCCACAACCATTATATAGCTGCAGCGTGGCTCTACCACGTTGAAATGGTTATATCGAAATCTTTCGGAAGCCATATTAGAATTTTTCTGCCATCTCCCATACTCGCCTCTTACATGGGGCGAGATAACACCAAACGGCATTTTTTTTTACATTGCTTGGTATATTAATTGATAAAGATACCCATTTGTTATAAGTTACTTGAGCTCACTTGTTCCTCTTTCAAAGTCAATCAGCGATTGCAAAGTGAGACCTGGAAAGAAAAGAAGGGGTAAGAAACTTTATTCTTCATGTCGGTTCTTTTCTTTCCTATCAATGTATTTAGAAAAAGACATTATTATAATATGATAATTTAATAGACTTATATCATGTTAAAATTACAATTTATTGTATTTTGTCTTATGACTCCATGCGTGAAAGTTACCCTGAAAATTGAATAATAATTTTATAATAGGCCATACTAATCAATCCCCATGGGAAAATAGTTGGAATTTTTCTTTTTGCTTTAACTTACTTGTCCATAATCCTGAGTACTTCCAGAAGATACATACATAACGAAAGCACTGTTTCTTCAAGTAACTTGAGAGGATCAATTGCAGATCCCTTTACGGCTCCCACATGATGGACATGTAGCGCATTAGGCGGGAGACTAGTATCTCCGTAGCCAAATAGTATGTAATTCCCATGACTGTGGATATCGATGTATAATTGTATGCCGTTCACGTATTCGAACAGCACATCTCTGATTTATCCCGTTTTTACATCTGAGAAAGGGACATGACCGGGGTAAACGCTAAAACAGGGATCCGAGGAAACGCCAAGGGTGTTGTGAGACACGTTGAAGTTGCAGTTGGCGTCGACATCGTAGCAAGTTGTACTGACGGATGGATTGAATGAGCGCGTGCATCGCCATAACCTTACTTACTTACTTACTTATCTTCACGCACATTCCCTGACGGGGTAGCCAGAGAGAACAGATCGCCAAGTGTTACGATCCTTATATACCTCTTTCGCTTCTTTCAGATTCATTATCTTCTTCATACATGCACGTCTAGGTATCCGAGTACTCTTGACCCTACCCTCTTCGAGCAATTTGCTCACATGGTCTTCGAAAGTTAGTCTCGGTCTACCTCGACACCTTTTAATATTAACTTTCGCGCTATATATTTTCTTCACCATTCGGTCTTCACTCATTCACTCAACGTGCCCAAACCACCGAAGCACGCCCTTATCAATTTTTGTGATAAGGTCATCTTTCAAACCTGCCATATTGCGAATCTCTTCGTTTCGCTTTCGGTCGGCCATGGTAACGCCGCACATTTTACGAAGAGATCGCATCTCCACTGCATTCAACTTGCTTTTATGCTTCTTCTGGCATACCCAGGTTTCGCTGCCATATAACAAAGTCGGTACCAACACTGCGTTATATATTGCAAGGCGTGCACTCTTCACTACGCCTTGCCCTTTGACTAACGCAGTCAGAGCACCATTGACTTTGTTCCCGGCAGCGACACGCCTGTCCACATCTAAATCACATCTTCCATCCCGGCTAAAAGCACTCCCCAAGTATACAATTTCATTTACTTGTTCTAGACATTCCTGATTTACGCCATAACCGTTCCTAAAAATAGGATATTTATGGAATTAAAGTTAATAGAAGCAAATTATACCTTTTTAATTATTAAAAATGAAACACTAGATACTGCCTCAATGCTTATTAGACGAACAACAGATATAGATATCATCTTTGTTTCATTATCATTACAGCCTTTTACGAGTCTACTGCTGAGCATAGGGCTCCCATCGATTTCCTGCATGTCTTACCAGGTCGTCCATCTTATTCTTCAGCGGTGAATATGCATCTTTTGAATCTTTATTGAGGAGAAATTTGGCGGCATTAAAAATAATTATTCCTCGTACACATTGCCTGTCAGTCTCTAACATGAGTCTCTCACAGTAGACAGAGAGTTCTAATGCAAATAAAGGAAAAGAAGGAAAATATCCCCAATTTCAGTAAGAAGCACTACATTATTTTACTTATTACTAGCCAGTGCTTGACTACAATCCTACTTGATGGTATGTTTTAACTTTATTACCATATGAACCCCTAGATGGTAAATCGCACCATCTTACCGTAACAAATTCCTGTTCTATCTCGCCTTGAAGACGCCCAGATTGTATGCGGATGGAAAGACAGATTATTTCACTTTACTGTTGAATGTCATGTGTTTTTTTTTACCGAAAATTAGGCCAACTGCATGTATTATGTTCTTCAACATGGCGTTCATTCATTCATTACAGCCTATCAAAATTTCACAGCTAACACAGGCCTTCCCTATTGTATAGATTCCCTATTAAAGGAGATATTTGTCATAGTTGAAACACATGAAAATCTTCTTATATATTTTTATTATTTTAAAATGGAAAACCATCTTAAAATAATAATTATCATCGCTCTACATCTTTCTAAAAATAAAGATGTAGAGTGATGATAATTCTTGTTTCGGTTTCTCACGGGACACCCACGGGATGATATAAGTTATCTTACACAACCACTACACGGAGTATGCATTTATTAAAATTACCAAGTTAATGATTTCTTGTGTTTTACACAAACACAAGAATATAATTAGAACATACAAGTTTTACCTTTCGAATTTTATGAGCAATTAATTTTAGAAATAAGAAACTTGCTAATTTAAATGTACTTAACTCATTTTTATATATTAACATATCTTATATTCAAGTACTCAAAACGTGGGGAATATAAGTTAATAGAGGCGATAAAATCTGTAAACATTAGTTTCAATAAAATTAGCAAGTTTCGTATTTCTAAAATTGATTGCTCATAAAATTGAAAAAGGCGCACAACTAGTGCGCTTGCGAAAAGGTTAGCAGGTGACGTGGACTATGCGACGTTGCCGCGCCGTTGCAGGACAGTATTTGCATATTGTGCGACAGAAATCGGCTGTTGGAAAGGGATCGTATGATACTTTCTCTGTCTCTTGAATGCAATAGTGATATAGCAAAGGCTGTTCAATGAATACGTGTTCCTAATATTTACGTTTTTTTTATTATACTTTTACAAGTGTTTGGTAAAAATGTTGTTATCATACGAAGTTGTTACTACTTTCGGAGTGTCAGCAGTACGTATGCGATTTATTTTTATCATATTGATAGATTTATTGAGATTGCTTTAGTTTTATTACATTCTGACACACATGCGTTAATAATATCGTGGCTTCCGTGTGGCGCAGTGCCTTGTTTCCTAAATAACAAGGCAGTAGAAACTGATAACCTACTTCTGAATCTTAAAATATCCTATACTATATCTTATAATATTAATAATCTTAAAATTACGGTGTAGATTTCTATAGCACTTTAGTTTAATATTATTTGGGTGTTACGTTTAGGATAAAAGTATGTTTTATATATTATTTGTGAGGTTTTATGTTATTATTAATATAGAAGTATTAAAATGTTTCTATTATCACATAAATATTATTCAATTAGATTTATTTTTTTATTGGTGCGGAAAATCCGCAAATTAGGAGTTTTTATTAGGTTTTTCATTACAAATTTAATCGATTAAGTAGTAGAATATATTAAAAAAATGCGCTAAAATGTTATAAAGCGTAGATATTTAAGCGTAAGATAGATGTATAAAATTAAAAAAAATTGTTTTCAAATACAAATACAAAATTAATTTATTTTCAAATGCAGAGTAAACACACAATTTTTGTTGTTTTGATTCGTCGTTTTCAGACTTAAAAAAATTGTTTATTTCTTTCCTGTGGCCCCACAACGCAGAAAATCAGTTCGTATGTATCGGACATAGTATACTTTACAGCCTATTAACCCTTTTGCTGTCCCGTGCACTACATATAGGTCATTACTATTGTGTTACTATTGTGTCTGGAAACCGGACAGTGAAAGTGTTAAATAACACAGCTGAACATAGGCTTTCCTTCCCCCATAGGATGCTTCATAGGATATTTGCCATAATTGCCACGCTTAGACTTATGAAAGGTGGCAACTATGGCAAATGTTTGGCTTGGTAACCGCAGTTTTTCTAGTCGTTGTTAGGAAGACGCCGCTGCCAATCCCCTGATTGGTTTCTCTCTGTCGCCTTAAGAGTCATCGTAAGTGACACCCAATGTATGATAATATGGGGTAGTGGATATTCTTGCACCTCCACTACACTGTAAATTATTTTATTATTTTTAGTCCTTATAGGTTGGACGTTTATTATTATATTTATTATCTTATTACCAGCATTTTAGTATCAATATCAAATTTAAAAATTCCTGCTATTGAAATTAGGCCACAATATTTTTAAAAACTTTTGGTAAATCCAATTGAGCATGCCTTCGTATTAAAAAAATTATGTATAGCATGATTATACGGAATTTTTTTAAAGTAGTTTAAATACACCCAAGTTTTCACTAATAAACTTATTATACTTCCAATTTTCTGATAATTTTATGTCAAACTTCAATTTGAAAAAGTTTGGAAAATCCAAAGTGCACGACTCATACGATTAATGCTCATATGATCATCATATCATCATTCATGTCACTCTAAAAAGTCCAAGACGTACCTATTCAAGTATAAATATTACATCCTACTTACTTTAGTACGTACTACTATTATTTATTCCGTGCTTTTAAAATATTGTAATAAAAATCTCTGATTATTATAATAATCAAGTATGCAACCAATACAGTATTCACCCACAACGGCGGTTGACGCCGAACTACGGAGTGAATCACAGGCAGTCTCTATTTACTGAAATAAATTCTAACACAAGGCTGCGAAAACACCGAAAATTTCGCCATTTTGGAGCCGAAAAAAAATAATTATGGCTAAACCAAACAAAATTAAACTGCCATTTACAATTATTATTTCAATTTATTGTTTTAATGCGTAATTACTTAACTGTTAGTGTTTAAAGCTAATTAAAATGGATATGAATATGAAGTTAATTAAAATGGATATTCTGGCATCTTCGTGTGAGGCTAAGCAATTTGGTAAGTTCTGGCAGCATACGAACAGACTGAAGGCAAGGTCGAGTCTCTCAGCTCAAGTGGGGGGCGTGAGTGGGTGTCGGAATATAGCGAACTTATTCAAGTCGCAGTTTGAGGTGGAACCGTGCAAGCTTAATTGCATGTTAAATGACGGTGACGCTGGGGACAGTGTGAATATGGGGGGTAGCCCGCTGCGCTTCACAATCGATGAAGTTAAATCTGCAATTAACAATATGAAGCATGGGAAATCACCAGGTCACGATGGCCTCAGCGTCGAACACCTCAGATATGCGGGTGTGCACCTTCACAGAGTCCTCAGGTTGCTCTACAACCTATGTGTTGGTCATGGTTACTTACCTGATACAATGATGATGACAGTGGTCGTGCCTATACTTAAGAATAGGACGGGCGATGCAGCGGATGAAACCAACTACAGGCCGATATCCTTGGCGACCATCTCGGCTAAGGTTCTGGACAGTCTGCTCGATACACAGTTAAGTAAGGCAGTTAAGTTACATGATGCTCAGTTCGGGTTTAGGCCTGAACTATCAACGGAGAGCGCAATACTGTGTCTCAAGCAGACTGTGCGGTACTATACGGACAGGAAGACTCAGGTTTATGCGTGTTTCCTGGATTTGTCTAAAGACTTCGACCGAGTGTCTTATAAAATTTTATGGCAAAAATTAAAACGGGAAAGTAGCTTGAGACCAGAGTTGGTTTCACTGTTGGAATATTGGTACGGTAACCAGACTAACACAGTTAGATGGGGTAACACCTTAAGTGATCCCTACAAACTAGGGTGCGGAGTGAGGCAGGGAGGGCTGACATCACCCAGGTTGTTTAATCTTTATGTTAACAGACTGATTGAGAGGCTCAGCAGAGCAGGTGTCGGTTGCTCAATAGACGGTGTACCCATGAATAATTTTAGTTACGCAGACGACATGGTTCTGTTGAGCCCCTCAGTCAGCGGGCTTCGAAAGCTGTTGAAAATTTGTGAAGCATATGCCGAGGAGACTGGACTCAGTTACAACTCAAAAAAGAGTGAATTTATTGTCTTCAGAGGTAAGAATAAACCACTTGACTTCACGCCACGTATCCAGCTATGTGGGATTCCTCTGAGACAAGTGGCTGAGTTTAGGTACCTCGGACATGTTGTTACTGAACGCCTGGATGATGACAGTGACATTGAACGAGAGCGCCGAGCGCTGTCGGTCCGGGGCAATATGTTGGCTCGCAGATTTGCACGTAGTACGACTCAAGTCAAGCTAACTTTGTTCAAGGCGTATTGTCAATCCTTTTACACGTGCAGTCTGTGGACTGACTATACGCGGCGGGCCTACAGTGCTCTGCGTGTTCAGTACAACAATGTGCTGAGGGTGATGTTGAGGAAGCCTCCACACTGCAGTGCGTCGGCCATGTTTGCGGATGCTCGTGTGGACGACTTCTACGCGATCATGCGCAGGCGTGCCGCGTCCATGATGAGCAGGCTATTGAGGAGCTCCAACACCCTTCTCAGCGCATTGGCTGTGAAGCTGGATTGCCCGCTCTGGAGGGCTTGGAATGTTGCACACACCAGCACGAGGAGAATTCCACCTGGAGTTCGCTATGTGAGGCTGGGGGTAGGTTAAGCTACTAATATAGGATAAGTAATTTTTTGACTAACATTTTAATATTAACTTCTATTTTATTTTATACTAACATTAGGCTAAGTAAGTTTTACTAACAATCTATGACTATTGTTGGTCGAAATAAAGGATTTATTATATTATTATTATTATAAAGCATTTCGATTTCTCTTTTAACAAATTCAAATAAATAATCATAAAAAATATGTAGCACATCGATTTCTTACAAATTAATCATGCAAGTTTTCGAATCATCATCATCATCTTCATCATCATTAGAAGCCATCCCAAGACATCCTCTTCCATAGACTTCCGCAAAACACTTTAGTCACTTTGCATCTCATGAGTTTTTTTATCTATGTACTCAGTAGTAATTAGTACTAATAAGTAATTATTATTAATTTTTATTGCTTGTTATTGTCTTTCTCAAGATATAATGAAAATATAATGTGTTCTTAATATAGACCAAATGTCTTATAGAAAAGGAAGTACATCTTTCGCTAAACTTTCAAATCAAAACAATTTTATAACATCACTCTTTAATATAAGTTACTTACCTCTTTATTAATGGTATTTATTCCAGGCTGAAATTAGATACTTCTTAGTAGGTACGTTATATTAAATAACAGCCTGATGGATGACATTATGCACTTATACATACATTTCGTAATCTAATTCCAAACCCATTAATTTCCACTTAAATAAATTACTTGATAATTTGTACAAAAATATCTGCATTACTGTGTTGTAATCATATTTATACAAATCATAAAGCCTAAGAATGAGAATCTCATTGATTTATAGTTAATTATCTCTTCATGAGATAACCTCTTCAAAGTAGGTATATAAGAAAGTCGCTTCCTGCTGTCTGTATGCTTAAATATTTTAAACAACATAACGGATTTTGATGAATTGTTTTGTGTGTGTTTGCATAGGTTTCTAGATGGTTTAGATTTATATTTAGACTAGTTAAGTGGCACTGTTGTCGAGATCCCGAAATCGACCACGCAAAACCGCGCGGGGCCAATCGCTAGTGTAAAATAAGACAAATTTTGTCGAGACCATAACTTGTCAAAAAAATTAGGAAATTTTACGTTTTCCGTTGCGTACGTGCTTTGATTTTTAATTTATCAGTAATAGATTTATGATTACTGTATGGTAATATTTGAAATTTGAAATATATTTTCCTTTACTTACGAATAATTTTTAGCTGACAATATTTGTAGTTAAGGTTACTAGAAATCTTATTTATGAAAAAGGTAAAAAGGTTGGAGTTATGGGCGTGGCTTGTATTATGGACATCCACTGTCTGTTTGCTTTTTATTAAAAGTTATTTTTTACCTTTAGATTGGACTAAAAAATATCACAATCTCAATACCGGCTAAAGTTACTTCATCTCTATTTGCCATACTTATGGGTGGAATTTTTTTGCAAATTAATATGGGACCACCTGTGAAGTATAAACCTATATGATAAATAAGGAAAAATCAAAAAGATTCAAAGTTTCAAAACTTTTATTTGCATCAGACATGGTACCTAAATACAGGTGTTAATTGCATACACTTTAGGCCAAACATGTTTCACCACTTACATAGAGGCATACACATATCAAATTTAATTCTGTGGCTAATTCAGTTACTCATTATTAAGTAATTAATTACAAAATATTGAAAGATACATTGAAATTAAAATTTATATATAATTACTGATTAGATAATTATTAATTATTATTAAATAGAACACAAATGTCTGACAATTATTAATTATTATAAATATTATAAAATGTCAAAATAATGGTTAATTATTATTAAAAGCATCGTAAGCCTCCTCCACGTCGGTCGGTTAAAAACCTACTAGTATCTAACTAGGCTCGTTTCTTGTAGGTCCCATCGTTTCGGTTTAGTTTTAATCGACGATACAATGTGGGTAATATTACTTGTTACTTGGAACACAAAATTAGAGGTAAAAAAAAACATAAAAAAGAAGAGTTAGAAATCAGCAAACATTAATTTTCTAAATAATTTAACAGCTTCTGAAGACGGTGCTAAGACACATTATCGAAGAATTAAAGTCCGACCTCTTTTCTTTTCGATTAGTCTGTTTGTAGCTAACGAGGGCCTCTTTTTACAGCTGCTGTCATTTACGGTGTTCACCACATTGTTGCTGGTGTTGGCTGCAAAGAGCGGGTTGCTCCGAGCAGGGAAATCCCACGACAAGTCCGCTCTCACCAAACATAACGTCAGCACAAAGTTACTACCACCACAGACAATGCCCGCACCCTCCGCTCCTGAACCAACTCCGCCGTCCACTAGACATTTACTGGAGCCACGAGAAGAATAACTTGCGAATTAAAATTGAGTTAAGATATTTTGTAATTAGGACGTTTTTTTTTTATTAGAGAGATTAAAGATATTACATTGTTATTTTAAATCTATAACGCACAATAAGCCATATATACATTATTCTGTAAGATATTTTTAATATTATACTGCTGATAACAGCTAATGAGTTGTATGCTGTCAGATTGAATAGAAAAGAGAGAGAAGCGTGATGACACAACGCTTGTAATTTACCTATTACAAAACTTAAAACAATTAATTACTAAAGTTTAGTAAATGAAAATATAAATAAAAACATCAATGTTCTGTATTCAAAAAATGTGATATTAAGTTTAATGTTATAATTTTTTTCGACGTACATTTAACTGTTATTCAGATATGTTTGGTGTACGGTAAGATGTTAGTTAATCATTTTTATGGAGAATTTTTTTCAAAAAATTGAAATAGCAATTTACTTAGGCATGTTCAAGATTATATATTTTTTCCGCTGCCATAAACTGTATAGGTTAGAAAAAATGTTCCATAAAAATCATGTATAGTCAGCGCCTTGTAAGTAGAAATTAAAAGTCTATGCGTTATCGCGTAACAAACATGTAAGAAAAAACATACACAATCAAATAATTGATAACCTCCTCTCATTTTTGAAGTTTGTTCAAAGGGTGCTATAGGACGCTATAATAATACAAAATTTAAAAATACAAAATATTGTCAACGAAGGCACAAACAAACTGTGTACTTAACTTGACAAAATATTTTCAATAAAAATCTTGCATTGTCTGCCTACTACAAAGATTATCTCTGAGTGTTTAACGTAGATGACGATTAAGATTTTTGGGTTGACGAGGTCTGGCGGCATTGAACACTAATGATTATTAATTTTTATTATTTATAGAAGTACCAATCACGTGTCATTAACATTTTTAAGAATGAAATACAAAATATTGCTAAATAAATGAACTTTAATTGTACTTACCTTTTACCTTAATGTACTTAACAAGCATACGTGAACGTACGTCACCAAATTATTTGGGTTCATTTCACTCACCAGAAACAAAGGTATTTCAAAATTAAATCCGCCATCTTGCTATTACTGTTTTAAGTGCCTAAGTGCCAACCATATTTTTGATCTAAGTATATGATTGTAAAATATAACTAACAATATTGTGATAACTTTTTAAATTAAATATATAACAGTACTGTTAAAATGTGTATTTTTTTTTAAATGTCCTTAAGTGGATTCTTTCTTATAAGGTAATAGCTATAGCTAATTGAGGCAATTTTTTGTGTACTAATATAATACTTAAGAAACTTATAAACTTTTCTTTAAAATTAACTTTCCAATTAAATGACACTGTGTAACAAAAATCTTCACCTGAGTGTCAACTAGTGACATCTGGGGAGCAGAATATAATTAAGCCTCATTATGTTGCCAAGATTAATTTTTATTAATACGAGTAAATATAGTTTGAGATTTGTACCCATTTGAGGTAGACCCGTGTTCAGCAGTGAACTTTCAATGAAAGCAATGATGACATCGTCATTCACTTAATAGGCCCTCATCCGGTTCTTAAGTTTAGCTTAGTTGAGTTTGCGAGCAAAACCAAATTTCACACGTACACGCTGAATTTTAGAATTCCTTGTATGACATCATATGAAACCTCACACATTACACTCGCACCGTACACGCCGATTTTTACAAAATGCGGTAGGTATCCGAATATTGAAGGACGTATGCTGATGACGTCATATAACGCGGCGCGTTCGGCGCGTGCTGATACTCAGTGTTGTCTAATGTTGATAATTAAGGGGCTACTGCATGCGAACGACCTTGAGCATTTGGTGTGCCGCGCCGACTCGCTACAATATAATATCGCGTAACAAATATATAAGACGCCACCTACTGAAAGAACGTGGTATTTTTTCAACATCAATAAACTATTTTATGGAAATACACACGGCGTTCGACGATAAATGTATTTAAATTTTTTTATTCGGTATATTAGTTGCATTATATTAGAATTATGTATTCTCATATATTATCTAATTATGAAATTTTATAATTAATTATATATTAAAAATGAAGCATTGAAAATTGTGAGTTTAAAAGATACCTACGCACTATAGGTAAATAGATAGATAGCTCGCCTTTTGTACAAATATTTGGTGCAATAAAGAATAAATAAATAAATAGGATGTTTCGTAGATGTGTTTTTGATTATTGTTAATTTTTACGTGTAACATACCTACCTACAAATTTTTGAACTGAGCACCTTGTAACTTAGCCTGCTTATTACTTATGCTGTCAGACATTATCTTCGCCCCAATGATTGATGAGGATGAAAATCAATTTTATTTCTACATACGTAATTATATTTATTTATACATAAGGGTAACGTTAATAAAGGTAATACAAAAATCAACAAAAAGTATAAGGGTTCAATCTTTCGATTTCAATTGTAAAAAAACGTTATCTCCACACTAGGATTTTCTCCTGTGTCGTGGAGGCAGTTTACAAACATAAATTGCACAAGGATAAACATCCAGACCCGGAACAATTATTTGTAGGCCATACAAATACTTGTTCCGTGCGAGATTCGAACCCGCGACCCCCAGCGCAACAACTGATTGCTAAGCCACTGCGCCACGGAGCCGTCGCCGGGTTATAGCTAAAGTGACCATACGTCCCGTTTTGAACGGGACTGTCCCTTTTCTCGGTCACCTGTCCGATTGTCCCCAAACAAAGCTCCGGGACACAAAATTGTCCCGTAACTCGTTGGATGTAAGTATTCAAAGTCAACAATCTTCAACATAATTTTTTTTAATCGAATATATTTTATGTCTACCTGGTACGAATGCTCCGGTAGAAAGAGTATTTTTTTATTTTGAATAAATTGTGGACGTCTGAAAGAAACACTTACGGTTCCAGAGTTCTAAAGGCGATGTTGTTAACAAAGATAACAATAAAAAAACTTGAGCAGAATTTTATTCTTATTCAACTTTATTAAAGCAAATTTAATCCACTGACAAATGTAATTAATAATTAAAAAAAATATGTTGCATTTAATAATTACCGTCTATACCGAATATAATTTTATAGTGAACACTAATTGTATAAAGTTATAGTTTTTAGAGTATAAATAAACCCATGTCCTGTTTTGAGTTAAAAAATAAATGGTCAGTTTAGTCTTTTTAGTTAAAATTAGTTTTAAAAATTTTTAGATAGTAAAAAGTAGGTATATTAGTACCTACTTAGATACTTTTTACCGAATTATAAGTATAGAATACCTTATGTACTCAATTATTTTTTGAAAAAGAAGAAAATACAAGCAATAAATAATATACTATAATTTAGCAAAAAACTATAACTTAGATCATAAATGAAAAACTCATAACTGACTTTTTGGCCCGACCCAGGATTCGTACCCGTGAGAACTCTTACACGTGGAACCCGTGTCGTTAGAGTATAAATATCCACCTAGTGGTTTCTACTTACGACATAATTTTTGTATTTTTATAACTTGTAAATGGTTCGTAATTAATTATACATAATTTTATTTTTTTGCATCGATTATTAATATGAATACTTAGTGATAAACTATTTAAATAGTGAACTAAAAATAGTTAAATTTAATTCAAAAACCCAATTTTTTTTTTATAGGATAAGGGTGACAAACGAGCACACAGTCCACCTGATGGTAAGTGGTTTCTGCGGCCCATAGACATCTACATCTATCCTCGTTGGCGAATCAAAATGCAGATGCGTTGTCACCCGTGAGGACTAAGATGGAATGCCTCATTTCCAGTAAAAAGGGCCTCCGGCCACCTGCACTCACCAAGCGAAACGCAGAGGTAAACCTCTACTTCACGCTTTACTTACTTTTTTTTTACTTACTTTTTTACTATTATACTTGATTACGTAATTATCAATACTTACCTATAACATACAAGTCTTTTCTCTGGTTCAAATGACCTTCGAAATCTTGAGTTTTCCATAGAAAGATATGATTTTAGTATATGTAGCATTTCTTGAAATTTCTTGTATATTAAATGCAAATATCTAAAAAATAATTCATCATCATGCAACAAGCATTTAAATAAAGTATATCCCCTTCCTATACTCCATACAATTACCTTTTTAAATTAATATTATTAATCCAGAATCTTTTTTTTCTTCGAATTTTATTTTCTTCTTCCTCTGCCAATAAGCAGGCTATCTGCGAGCGATCTATTTCACTGTATGTGTGATCTATTTCAGTGCGGACAAATTTGCGTTCAGCTTTATAGCTCATTTCTGAACGCCTTCTATACTATCCAAATAATGTATGTACATCCTAACTGTGACAAACATGTCTCAACAGATCTCATAACTGTTCTGCTATTGTACTTTCTGTGTTGACTGCCTGGTTGGTGTAGCAGGCGTAACCGCGATTGCTGATTATGGGATCACGGATTCGAATCATGGGTCGGGCCAAAAAATTGTTATTGAGTTTTTCTGTTAAGAAATACTCAGTAGAAGCCTGGGGTTAGGAAGTTGACGGTGTTTCACCCACGTGCCTCGGAAATCACGTAAACCATTGATCCTGTGTGTGATCTCTCTCCGGTCTCGCTGATTATCGTGCCATCGAACTATGAGGTGAGGGAATAGAGGGTGCACCTGTGCTTGCGCATACACTCGAGCACTATAATCCTGTCCTGCACAGGTCGCTAGTCTTCGTTGAGACTGGCCGCCGTGACCAGAACTCGGTCTGGAAGACATTATTATACACGGTAAGAGTACGTCTAAGTATTTAATTCAACAAAAATAAGTAAAATAGATTATTTATTTTATAATTTCTTTATAAAATATAGTTTGTTTATTTTATAAAAACCTTAACCCACCTTACGGTTTTCTCATGTTTACATACAGAAATTTTACAAAAAATCATTAATATCTATACGTGGTAGAGCCATGTTGCAGCTACCTAATCAGGTCATAAATTCTGTCACATGTTTAATATAAAA